CAGAGCCAAACGATTCCGTCGATCCAACAGATGCGTTCATTAACAGTGTTCTAAATAATGTTAAATAATTTACTAAGAGAGCCATATGGTTATTTTTATATGTTAAGTGATTGCAATTCCTAAAAGCAACAATAGATAACATATTTATGGATACATACTTGTTAACTCGTTATCTGTAACGTTATAAGTAAGTAATGAATGAACCTTCAGGTACTTTTTTTAGGTTATTTTTTTTGCAAGGTAATTGCAATTTATAATTGCAGTAATAAATAACATATTTATGGGTACATACTTGTTAACTCGTTAACTGTAATATACAACACAAGTAATGAACTTCCAGGATAACTTTGAAATTTGTTTAAATTTGTATAAGGTGGTTCCAAAATCTATTTGCAACAATAAAAAAAGCATATTTTTATGTACACATATTTTGTTAACTTGTTAACTGTAACGTTACACACAAGTTATGAACTTTGGGGTAGCCTTTATCATTATTTTTTTAGGTTATTTTTATATGTAAGGTAATTGCGAGTTTTATATGCACCATTAATTAAAATATTTTTTTTACGTAGACTACTTGTTAAAACTATATTTTTTAGCAGTATAAATGTAACGTTGTATCAACTAAATATGTAACACGTTGTTTGATTTATTAATAAATTACAATTTAAATACAACGGTGAGTCATTACTTACTTTGATGCAGTCCTTGAACAAATCAATCAAAGCTTCACACACTTCAGGAATCAAGAGTGAGATGGCGGACTTGGATATTTTAAAAAGATAACTCAAACTCTGGTAAGAATCCCCACTTGCTAAAAACCTTAAAGTCACTGCTAACTTCTCGCGTACTGGTATGGCATCCCTGAATTTAGTGTCTTTCTTTCCAATTTTGTGTCCAATCATAAAAATAATAAACTCAAAATCTTCACTTGTCATCCTTAAGAAGTTTTTAAAACTACCGTCACACCGAATTTCACACCTCAATGAAGGATGATTCGTAGCATCATCTGCATCAAGATCTTTTAACAGGTCAGTTCCACTATACCTCACCCTCGCAGCAAGTGACGGTCTGACCCAAAACCTCCTTTCTCTCCTCTGACAGGCCAATATCACAGTTATCGCAGCAGCGAGCGCAACATCATGTCTCCGCGACATTTTTGACAATGGAGAAAGGTTTTGCTACATGTAGCATGTAGCATTAAAAAATCTGTGATTTGAAATGTTATATAACATTTGCTATATGTAACATCTAGCATTTGCTACATGTAACATCTAGCAGGAGTAAAAAGTTCCGAATAAAAATGTTATATAACATTTGCTACATATAGCAAATGCTACATCTAGCAAAAGTTATATAGCAGTTTTTGCTACATAGTGTAAACCCGGCTTTAAGCTCGGTAAACCAAATATTCCTGATCACTTGGTTATGGTTTTAAACTGTATAGGTTATTTACATCTAATCATGAGTACAATACTTAAAAAACAGTGAATTGGAAATTAAAAATTTTAATAAACATAAAAAATACACATTATTACACTATTTTAATTGTACCTAAACACTGTTCACAATTAGTGTACAGTACGATAGTTTATCTACAACTGTTTTCATTCACCAGTCAGTCTCAAAAACAGTCAGTGTGGTTCTTACGACTAGTTTCAATCATCGACGTTTGACTGTTTCCAGTTATTCCAACGATTGGTTGACTGGTTCCAGTCGCCGTAGGACCGGGAGTATGAAGTGACTAGTTTCAATCATATCTGGGAGAACAACCGACTAGTCGGTTTTTTTCCAACAATCGATTGAATCGGTTGTTTTCAATCAGTTGTTCCCATCACTAGTTCGTAGGACTGCTGTCGGTGGACACGGTCATACCGATGATGATGGAGGGTGAGGACAATTGGACCTGTGTGTCACTTTACATCCAGGGTGTTCTCCGCGCCAAGAAGTTTGACCTCGACCGGGATGCGGTGTAGGTCAAAAAAATAAATAATGCCAGAAACGGTGCGAGCCCTGTGGGCTTAGGTCACATGTTGGCCTGACTTGAAGTAATGTGACAAACAATTCCAGGTCTGTGTCCAACAGAGTAGAGAGGGTTTTTTAGTGAGTAGTCTGTGATAAACTCTGGAGTCTCACACTACAGGCTGGCTTCCTGTGTGCGTAAAAGCATTTTCCCTCCTCACCCTAAAAAAAAAAAATATGGGGTCCAAAAAGTAATAGCGCTATTTTAGGGCTAGGAGGTCACTTTCGTTTTAAAATCAGTGACAACAAAATTAAGTACAAGAAAGAAAAACGAAAGAGTGAATACTACAATATTATTTCAATTTTAATATCAAAATACAATTATATGTTATACATTTCTAAATTAGTTGTGGGGTATATGTAATTTCGTGGGATTTTGAATTAAGCAATTGTATAATTGGTGGTAATAAATAGGTAATGGCTTGTAGACTCGTGTAATACCGGGTGTTTTGTCTGAAAGTGTGGCCTAGTTGGTGTTTTCGGCCACAATACAATGATAGTGTTATGACACATCATTATAAACTAGGTTTTAACGCTGATTTCAATGCCAAAATCCGTTTTTGAGTATATTTATTTTTTTGTAATATATAATCAAATTAAAACTGTCCCCATACATTTCATTTGGACGTTTCGTACTTTGAAATTTTTCAGATTATTTTTCTTATATCTGCAGTTCTTATTAATGCTTTCAGTACGTTCTAGCTTTAAAATATTCAGTCATGGAAGGGCTATCATTTGAGTTATTGATCTTTAAAATCGGACGAGGTAGAGTCGAGCTACGAACCACAACACAATATTAAATTTAACTTTTTAGAAATAAGTTTTTATTAAAAGATTTAAATGTTGGGTTGGTTATCCGTGTTACAAAATTTTTTTGGTGTAAGTACAAAGTAAATGAAGGGTAAAATGATGCATATATACGAGGTTCCAAGTCTAAAAATTTGCTCCCAAAAGAATTCTCTTTTACGTTCCGTGGGAGTGTGGCTAAGCCTCTAGACTGTATATAACAAAGGTTTTTTATTTACATCTGATATTAAGACAGATGATTTGTTGTTATCTATATATACAGGGTCAGTTTTAATTGTCCCCCCACAACTTTTTTCTAAATTTTTTCAAATATCAATCCCAGACCACTTCCAAACATTGTTAGGTAGTAAGTACTTCATTTTGACAAGGTGGCTATTTCCGGCCGCCATCTTGGATCCGCCATATTGGATGCAACATTTTTCTTCAAATGTAAAGGTGGGGTTGTGACGCATTATTTCGAACTAGATTTTTACCCTGATTACAATGCCGCAAATTGTTTTTAAAAATCTTGATCCATTCTAAAGTTATGAGGGTTTTTTAAAACTTTATTTTTAGCCCATTTTAACATTGTGCATTTACAAACTAAGACCATAATCTCAAAATAGTGCTAGATAAAGATAAGTATACACTACCAGTAATTGTCGACCTATTTTCGCTTGGTTATGACTGATGTATTATTTTCGGCCGCAATCTTGGATCCGCCATTTTGAAATGTGATATATTATTTTAAATATGAAGGGGGTGTTGTGACCCATCATTTCTAACTACTTTTTTAAGCTGAACTTAATTCCATGATCCGTTTTTCATTTTCATGTTTTGATTTTTAAATATTGACATTTTTTACAAAAAAATTGCAATATTTCATAAATAAAACTTGATAACAAAAAACTGATTGCGGCATTGAGTTTAGCTTAAAAGAATAGTTCGAAATGATGGGTCACAACACCCCCTTCGTATTTAAAATAATTTATTACATTTCAAAATGGCGGATCCAAGATGGCGGCAAAAAAATACATCAGTCATAACCATGTGAAAATAGGTCGACAATTACTGGTAGTGTATACTTATCTTTATCTAGCACTATTTTGAGATTATGGTCTTAGTTTTTAAATGCACAATGTTAAAATGAGCTAAAAATAAAGTTTTAAAAACCCTCATAACTTTAGAATGAATCAAGATTTTTAAAAACAGTTTGCGGCATTGTAATCAGGGTAAAAATCTAGTTCGAAATAATGGGCCACAACCCCACCTTTACATTTGAAAAAATATTTTGCATCCAATATGGCGGCCGGAAATGACCACCTTGTCAAAATTAAGTTCTTACTAACCAACAATGTTTGGAAGTGGTCTGGGATTGATATTTGAAAAAATGTAGAAAAAGTTGGGGGGGGGGGGAATTAAAACTCACCCTGTATAAAAGGCAAAGCCCTCACTGACTGACTCACTCACTCACTCATCACTAATTCTCCCACTTCCCATTTATCTAGGAGGCTGAAATTTGGTACACTGATTCTTTAGGCATTAAATAGGAAAACTAAGTTGTTTTTATTCTGATCGGACTCTCGGGCTCCGCCCCAGTGGCTATGGAGTTTCCCATGTTAACCTTATGAGTACTCATATTTAAATGGAATTAATTAATCTTAACAGCTGTTTCAATTAAACAAGTTGGTTCTGTTCTATGTTGTGCAATAGCATTAAAGTTACAAGGATTACCAACAGGGTGCAGCACTATTATTTTTTTTTATTTATGACAACAGCTAATTTGCAACCAAAAGGTGAGTGAGCGTAGCGAACGAACTTCAACCAGGACGTGATTGAGCCATGCGAACGAGCTCACTTATAAAGAAAACGGGGCAAAGCCCGCGAGTACAGCTAGTTGTAAATAAACTATTAATTATGGTTTTGAATGAAAAACTGGACTGGAAGAAATAAGTGTACTTTATTCTTTTAACTTAAACTAAATAAGTTACTTACTTACTTGATACTTAAACTTTACCAACATATTTGACAGTATGTGTGTTTCTACTCTTATAGTTGTGTTGTATATATATATCTAGTTTATTGCTCACTGCTCAGTGCTCAGGTCAGTGGGTGGTGGGTAGAACGGGTAGAACTGCATTGCATTTTACACCTACAAACACCACCACCACACCAAAACCAAAGTGGTCTATAATTTCTGTCGTCTGCACTGGCACTCTGTCTAGCGACTAGCTATATGCTAGATGTTGTTTCTGTTTGGATACTATAACAATAACAATACGAATTTACGAGATACAATACAACAATTATTACGATTTATTCACGACTCAAGAGAGACTACGGACTGGGCTGTAAGACAACATTAAATCAAACACATAGCCTATTTAAGTAAATTATAGTATACGTTAAGGGAGATGTAAAATTATTTTTTATTCATTATAGTGGCTTATAAAAGTGTAGCAGTGCTGAACTTTCCATCTCGAGTCTACATATTTGGACAATGTCAATGTCTATTAAAATGTCTTTAACGTAGCTTTTTTGTCCATAAAGAGGCATGGACTTCAAAACTTAGTCTATTCGACGTTCTCCTATTCTATTCCTCTTCTTATATTCTGATTAACTGTTGTAGCAAGTTAAAGACAAGAATTAAAGTTTCATTAGGACCTAGTTGTAGGTAGCAATGACCTCATCCAGAGAATCTCCTGCATCTGAAGTGCCTTCAGACAATGGATTAGGAACGCTTTCCATGAGAGATAAATCCTTATTGAAAAGGAATATCAACAGGCATCACAATAATAACATGAGGTAAGAAATGTAACCATTCACTAAATGTAGAGCAAGACATTTAAGTTATTGATAATTAACTTAGGCATCTAGGCCTAAGATGGTTGTCTGAAATTTAGGCAAGGTCTTAGTCGTTCTCCTGTCGCACAAGCTCAATTCTTAGATGAACATTGTAAGTTATTCCTTACTCTATCCACTACTATCATAGGCTTCCCACTTCTATAGGACAGTATCTACTTTAGGCTGCATACTATAGGCTGCATTTTACTTTAGGTCCTACACTCATTCGAATGAAAATATTGATTATTCGATTGTTTCATTTGATATATCGTTTGGTTAGTTAGGTTAGGTTAACCTTAACCAAACGATATATCGTATGAAACAATCGATATATCGATCAAAATTTTCATTCGAATGAGTGTAGGACCTAAAGTAAAGTGCAGCCGATCAAACGTGGTCTTAAATACTTACACGGTGTTTTCCATGGTGTACTACAATAGGTCAATGACTGCTTTCATTAATTTGTCTCATTTTAAGCAGTGGCCCAGGTTACCAGTAATCCGGTAGGTTAATGCAATTTAGCATTATGATCACGACTGAACGAGGGAAATTGTCAAACTAATAGGGGGAGACTTCTACAAATGCTTACAGTCAGCCATGGACTTTAAACGCTGATCTGCTAACTAAGTTAAGTTTAAGTTTTCTCAAATTCTATCTCTCTCTCATCGATGAATCAAAACTTAACCCTTTGCCTGCCCTGTCAAGCCCTGCGCCACTGTTCATGTATATTTAGGCGATACTTATTCAGGACCCAGTCACAGACAATGGAATAAACCCAGACGTATCACTGCGCGATGCGTAGGGCCCCGTCACATCCTGCCTCTAGCGGAGAATCGAGGAAACACGCAGTCTCGCGCTCGCCTCGCCAGTCGCTGGCATGGTCGGCGGTCGCTGGCTTGCAATTAATTGCAGCACTAGCAGTTCAACTCAACGCCAAATTCTCGTCTATCATTCCTCCTCCACAATTTGCGCGGTCCACCGATACCGTACTCCCTACGACCCGTGCATCCATCTGCCTGCGGACAGCATTTATTTTTCATTGTGTGATTATTTTAATCACATTTGCGACGGAGTTTAGCAATAAATTAAACATGGTGTTCAAAAAAGGTGGGAGACATATTTTACCTAGTGATTCCTTGGGTAAAAATAAAGAGAAAATCAAGAATAATGTTTTCCAAAATCGCTTCGTTACCCAAATATCCGCCATTTTGTATTTTTGACATACACTTTTTTATATTTTAATGTTGTTTACTGATTTTTATTAAACTTGGTATGCATGTTAAGGTAGAAAAGACCCATGTTAGAAAAAAAGTTCATCTAGATTCAACCTACAACTTCAAAATGATGGCCATTAAAACATTAAGCTTAAATTACTCAAAACTGGCTGTTTTTTTGAAAATATTCCAAGTACAATTTTAATTATCTATTATTTTAATTAGTATTATTTTAATTATCCTTTAGCATTTTTAATTATCTATCAAACTATACCAAGTCCAAAAATATCAAATAAAAATAGCTGGAATATTATAATTTTTAGTTGTAAAAGGGGCAAACCTGACTATCTTCTGCCTTATTCTACCCCATTTCAGCAATAAAATTTTAGCAATAAATTTTATTCAGTCTGTAGTACTGTAATAGAGAGGAGCGAAGCGAAGCTTGTTGGGATCGGCTTCAATACGAACTTCCATAGACACAAAACAAAAATACTAATCACTCAAAATGGCTTAACTTATTTTAGCCAAACTTTCCAAGATGCTTTGTTTCCACAAATAGGAATTCGGAAGATTTAAGATCAAACAATTGAAATTTTTGATAATCTATATAAATAAAATTACAGTTTTGTCTGTACATTGCGTAGAATCATGCAGTGTTTGGTTAATTTTACGTTTCATAGCCTAAGAAAGCCGAAACGAGTCTTCTCAATTTCTGTCTGTCTGTCTGTTTGTCTGTCATTGTGTCATTCTGTATGGACTCCAAAATGTTAGTTTTTACTATGAAAAAGATAAAACATTAAGTGAAAGATTTTGTTTAACAAACCATCATGAATTTTTAAAGTTTTACGTTGTTAACGTATCAATTTTTTGTGGCCTTTGTATTTATTTACTTATTTATATATTTGCCAACGGATTCACACAAATTTTACAGTTGGATTACAAGTTGTGAATTGCTCAATATGACTAAATAGCCTATAAATAAAACGAATATCAAAAGTAACAATAATAAGAATACAGTACATGCAAATACTTGGACAAAGAAAGAACTAAGAGTAACGAGAAGTAAATACACAAGTTGGCTGAATAACAATAATAATGAAAATATGTATAAAATAAATGTCACATTGACCAATCTAGGAAATAATAAATAATAAAGATAACAATTACCCTGATGAATATTTTCGTGAAAACAAAAATAATATGGCAATGATAAATATTTGAAGTGAATAATTATTGTACATTATTACCCATCTAAATCTTCTTTTGTACTTCGTTTCATAATTTATGCCGTAATTTCAACAACATTTCGAGTCATTTTCGGACTAAGCAAAGCAAATATAAATTGTCATTCCATACGGCATTTTCACTGCACGATAAGTAGGCCTAAATACGATTATCATAAAATTTGACGACACTATCAAACATTTCAAATAATTATTTTGTAAATACTTTGCTTTGGTTGGTTAAAGCGTAGCAAATCCCCTAATTCAATTCTGTGTTTGTGTGTGTGTATGTCTGTTGGTAACGCATTAATGTCCTTATATCTCAGTGTTTCGTGGAAAAGACAAGAGCACCTTTGATCGAAAATGGTTGCGGTATTTGTAAACATCATATTTGTAAACATATCAGTGACAGCTTGATCTGAACAGCTTTTCGTTATTTCATAGATGATTTATGATATAAATAATAGGCCCGCCGCAGCAAACCTGCTGACTAAGCAAATTTCCATTAGTCTGAATTGATTTTCAGTTACCGTAATGTATTTATTTAACATTAGGTTTTATGTGTACCTAGGCTTGCTGCTACATGGAGGGTAAACAAGTGTGTTTTGGTAAAATATTAATTACTTAGTATAAAATAAATAAATTTACAAAGTTTGATCAAAATATATCCATAAACAAGCAAACTATAACATTTTACAATATTCTCCATAAGGATAACATGGGAATTTTAAAATACAGTTGAACCTCGTTTGTACAAACCTCGATAAAACAAATTCCTCGATAAGACAAATTTTTTTTGATCCCCTTGACACTTTCATATATAGGTCAATGCTAAAAACACCTCTATACAACGTAACTTAGTAATTAAGTTAAAAACCTCCATAAGACGAATTTGTTTGTGACATGGGCTAGGACTGATTCACCTCTATACAACGAATATTCTTAGCACAAAACCTCTACAAGACGAACGTGACCTCTATAAGACGAATTGATCATAATCTTAACCTCCATAGTACGTACCTAGTTTTCAAAACAAACAGAAGCTTGTCTCAACATGAAACCCCCACCCATCCCTCCTCCTTCATCAGTCATTGTTTGGAGAAACCTTGGAGCGAGGAGAAACCTCTATAAGAAGAATAACAGCAGCATTAAACCTCGATAAAACGACCCTCTTTATTAAGAATACCTCTATAGTACGAATTTTTCCCGTACCCCTTGAAATTCGTCTTATAGAGGTTCAACTGTAACAATTTTTTGAATTTTCTCCGTAACCAATAATTGTACAAAAACACTTTAATATAATAAATTATTTGTTTTCTAAGCTCATGAGCGGCATGATTATAGATTGGTTTTCTTTTGTCTTCATGTACCACATCAAAACGATGGCCTGTCATTCGAACTCTTAAAGAGTTTGAAGTCTGGCCAATGTAATCTTTTGGACAATGTTTACACGATAGTTGATAAATCACATTGTGAGATTCACAAGTTGATCTACCAACAATCGGATAAACCTTGTTTGTAACTTTACTATCAAATTCAGTTGTATTACTCATAATTTTGCAAATACCACATCGGGGCTTGTGACATGGTTCACAGCCGTGTTTAGAATTGTTTGAAGGCCGAGAATTTTGAATTTTGGGTCTCACCAACATATTTTTTTAATTTTGTGGCCTTTTAAAAATAACACGTGGTGGTCTGGTAAATAAATTTTCTGGATTGCATTCTGACATCCTGTACCTTTTAAGTACACTCTTGATGTAAGACTTCTGATTCAAAGAAATCCTGCCCTCTGCTCTATGAATCTCCATTCCAAGGTAGGTTTCAGGATCAGTAACTTTCAACTTGAAGTCTTGTTCCAATTGTGCAATAAAATCATACATCTCTTGTTGATTTGAACCAGCAATCAGACCATCATCGACAAATATTACTACATACAATTTTCAACCGTTCTTGTTACGAATAAACAAACATGGAGCTGCAGTACTTTGGCTAAAACCCTTCTTAAGCATGCTTTGCATTAGACACTTACTCCAACACCGTGGACTTTGTTTCAGACCATACAAACTGAGTTTCAGTTTCCAAACTCTTCCACTTTTGTCATCATAACCTTCAGGTTGCCAAGTATAGATATCCTCATCTAAGTTAGAAAACAAAAATGCAGTTTTTACATCAAACTGTTTTAAGTAAAGATCTTCTTGAACAGCTACATTCAAAAGACATCGAATGGTATCGCTTCGGGCTAAAGGACTGAATGTCTCATTATAATCCTTGTAACCTTTTAATGCTATTGATCATCACAGAATCAAATTATTTAGTTGAAACAGCTGTCAAGATTCGAAGATTCTTTAATTCCATTTAAATATGAGTACTCATAAGGTTAACTTGGGAAACTCTAGAGCCACTGGGGCGGAGCCCTTTTGACGGATCTGACCTAAACTTCACAAACCATCTTTGAATAATGCTTAATAATGCCTGAAAGTTTCATTACAATCTGTCGAGTGGTTTCAGAGTCCATAACGTTCAAATATATATATACAAACTTCCTCTTTTATAAATATAGATTAATAGTTGTTAAACTTTATTATAAACTGTGTTTACAGAAACTGTTTCAAGGTAAAACAAACATACACATGATTTAATTAATTATAAACTATGTGATTGTAAATAGACAGTGAGCAAGTTAGTTTTCTTTCAATAATAGGCCTCACTGAAATATAGCAACAAAACTAAGCTATCAATAATATAACTAGCCCATCAAATATAAAAGCCTACTGTAATGAACCTTTTTTTTAGTTCTAGAAACAATAACATTAACGCATTCAATAATAAATATTTCAGGACTGCCATAGATCCAGTGCCGGATTTACCACTAGGCCAGGGGCCGCAATGGATTGACATTATTGACAATATAAACTTTTTTTTCAGAACAAAAAATATTTTTTTTAATGCTCAATGTACTGTGATCGCGAGTGACAATGATGATGTCCCCGTGATTGCGGCCCACGGGAGATATTCAAGATTTTGCCGCGGTCGCACGTGACGCTGATGATATTGTAGTCGTGATTGCGGCGCACGGGAGATATTCAAGATTTTTCCGCGGTCGCACGTGACGCTAATGGTGTAGTCGTGATTGCGGCACACGGGAGATATTCACAATTTTGCCGCAGTCGCGGGTGTCGCTGATGATGTAGCCATGATTGCAGCCCACCGGAGATAATCACGATTTTGCCGCGGTGGCGGGTAACGCTGATGATCACGGTGATTTTAGCTCACGGGAGTTGTTCACGATTTTGCTGCAGTCATGGGTGACATTGATGATGACCCCGTGATCGCGGCTTACGGGAGATGTTTACGATTTTGTCGTTGATACGTGTGTCGATGATGATGTCCCCGTGATTGCAGCCCACGCGAGATGTTAACGATGACGCTGATGATATCACCGCGATTGCGGCTCACGGGAGGTGTTCACGATTTTCCTGCGGTCGCTGGTGTTGATGATGATGTCTCCGTGAATGCAGCCCACGGGGGATGTTCACGATTCATTTTCTGCAATCACCAGGAATTTCCCCCATAGTGGTGGGGGCCGCTCGAGTAATTTGGCCTAGGGCTGCAGGTAACCTAAATCCGGCACTGCATAGATCATCGACTCTTAGATTGTTAAAGGCCATATGACCAACCGGTAACGCAACACCCCCAGTCTGAGTGAGATGATCTGTGCATCTTCTTTCTTACTGACAAAGACTAGCTGTTTCATTAGCCAGGATAATTTACAGTATTTTAAGTCCCAATTATCAGGGACAACTGGGTCCAGTTACAAAAGCTACTGACTTTTCTTTTGATTGCTAGGCGAGTACTATAACCACCCTGCTAGTCTTTGACCCAGCCAGTCCAATTTAAATCTAATCACAGAACACAATTCATACAGTAATCGGCAGGTCGTCAATTTTATTTCTCAACATTTTTGAGTAGTATGACGAAAGACGAGACTAGTCGTTCCATATGAACATACTGTACTACTGGAACTGGCTACCGGCTGGAATAGTAATGAAGTAAGGATCATGACCTTGGTCTCAGATTTGAACTACTGTAGTCTGCTTGGCTGCGACAGGAGCTCGATGGAGACTTTACATTTACGACCAACCCTCGTAGTTCGATGATTGAATGTCGACTGGGAACACATTTAGCTTACTGATACTACTAGATGAGATGTTTTATATTTATTGATTAATTTATGAAAATTTTTTCTCATTAAGGTCAAGACAATGGTAGATCTTTGAGCCAATTGTTTTGTACATTTATAACCATCAATAGCCTGTGTTCTACATTAAAATGAAACCAGTTTTGCCTTTAATATTGTGCTGTGCACAACCACCAGTTTTGCCTTCAACTTTGTGCTTTACACATTCGTCAACAAGTAAACTGAAACTTTCATGTGGTAACTTTGCACAAACCTCAGTTTGCACTACCGTATTAATTTTGTCATTTACATGTGCACTAGTATCATAATTTACTAGCTACTAATCAGCCTACTACCTTTATTTATTTTTTTGCAATGTTGAAAACAAACTCTTGGATAGAGTTCTTGCATGACAATACAAAACACACAACTTTCATTAACCTGCTTTAGAAGATGAAATATTTAATTTTACGTGTGTTTAAGGACACTAGCATTTTTGTTTCTTGTGATTGGTCTAAATTCTGGCCATGTTCCTATCTAACGTTAACCTTTCGTCAGATAGCATCAATCAAATTTAAATGGCCTAATGACAATTGGCATGCAAGTCTAGAATTGACCTCTCCTTGGATCAAACTAGCAACCTTTAGATTTCAAGGCTAGCCCTTTTTTAACCACTAGGATACCCAGACTAGTGTTCCTTCTCCTCTGCAATTAAAAATGTTCATCTTAAGAACATATTAAGTATTTTTGTGACTATTTTAGTCAATATAAATTTTTTACAATTGTCTTAACCCAAATCTTTTTTTTTTGTGATGGTTTTCTTTCTAATGGCAAACACTAATGACACTGAGGTTCAACTAATTTTTCTGAAATGTTAACCAACTTATTTTTTTTTATTATGGTGATCAATAAAGCCTATGTTACCAAGTTGACTTGTAAAAAGAATTCTTCTCTTATACCTATTATGAATTTTACAGTGCTGGTTATGTTCCTGTACATGAAGAGGATCTTCATAAAACTGGACTGAGAGGAAGAAAAACCTATCTCTTTTGGACCATAATAGTAATACTCTGTGTTCTTGCATTTGCCAATTTTATATTACTTTTAATCATTCTCAGTGTTTTACGAATAGGATTAGGAATGGAGAGTTTGGAGATTATTCCTGAACATTCATTAATCAAGTTTTATGGGAACACAGATCTTGGATGGATTTTCAAAAGAGATGGTATTATAGAAAGCTTTAGCGACAAACCTTTGATAATAACAGGAGATAGAAGTCAATTGTCCATTGACCTTGTTGCTCCAGAGTTCAAAATGCAGCATAAGGTGATGATGTTGGATGAAGATCAAGTGCTTTTTCAAAACGTTCAGTCCTTTCATGTAAAGGATAAACATACTAAGAGTGATATTTTCTCCTCCTCAAATCCAAATTTTGGACTTCCTACAGGTGTTAGAAATTTACACGTAAATTTTGCCAACACCCCAAGAATATCTAGTCCAGTTAATGAAAATTTAAACATAAGATCAGATTCATATATAAGGTTTAAAGGAAATGAAGGCACAAGGATGGAAGGTAAACATATTTTGTGGTCAGCAGATCAATTTTTGTTCCTGAAAAGTGTTAATGGTAGCATTATTCTCAATGGCACAAAGGGAGTGACCCTAGATTTGAGTCAGATGCCAGAAGCTGCTAATGGTAATACAGGTTTACCTTTTGTAAGTCAGTTTAAGGTGTGTGTTTGCATGCCTTCGGGTAAATTATTTAGGGTCGCTGTTCACCCAGGCCAAAGCTCACATTCTGCTTGCAACAGAGCAAATATGGTTCCACACATTGACCCATGTAAATTCTAAGACACTTGGGCAATAAATGAAAATACAAAGCATGCAATTCGTTAGCAGCTAGATAGTACTAGGGGTTGCTAATCTCTGCTTGAATGTTGTGCCACTGTAACCCATGACCAGAGCCTTAAGTAACATTCGTCAACAAGTAAACTGAAACTTTCATGTGGTAACTTTGCACAAACCTCAGTTTGCACTACCGTATTAATTTTGTCATTTACATGTGCACTAGTATCATAATTTACTAGCTACTAATCAGCCTACTACCTTTATTTATTTTTTTGCAATGTTGAAAACAAACTCTTGGATAGAGTTCTTGCATGACAATACAAAACACACAACTTTCATTAACCTGCTTTAGAAGATGAAACATATTAATAATAACAAACAACTGTTAATTTAGGATGAAAATATGATGAAAAAATTTAACTGGGCCCTGCATTACTAAGAATAATTTTGTAGCTCGGGCCACTCTGGGATTCCTGTTATTGTGTAAGGAATGTCACGGGATGTTACTGGTGTGTCTTCCTTCATTTGACCTACACGTATCCAAAGTCTAACAAAAACCATTTGCTTTGTTTTGCCCTTGTTTTATTTTGAACACTAATATTAATACTTTTGTTGCAGACTACTACTGCACTAAAAAGTATTATATACATTGTAAAAGTATTGTAAGTAGCCTACATTGTAAAAGTATTATGTACATTGTAAAAAGTATTATTTGCATTGATTATTTTGGCGACAGAATATCACAATTTATAAATAGTTAGCCCTGGGCTCTGGTGTAAATTTTATAGGCTGTGGTTTCTATATCAAAATTGTGAATAAAATAAACCCATACTGTATATTGCAATGTTTGCAAATAAATGAACTTTTGAAGTTATTGAGACTTGGCAAAAAAATATTTCAATCAGGTTTTTACTTTTTAGCAAACCTAGTTAGGCTATTGCAAAGTTAACAAGTATGTAATAAGTTCATAGGCCTACTTATTATTGTTTTCAAGAATTAGTTTTAGTTAGATTGATGTCTCTAAGTTGTGCTGCTATTGGTGTTTTGTATTGCTCAAAGTGCAATTTTTGTGGTAGTCAGCCATACACAAATCTAGTCAAAAGTGTTGTAGAATAGAAGCTTGCAGTGTGTGTTACTGGCTCCTAAATAAACTAATAATAATTTATTACAAGATAGCCAAAGATTGTTGTGACTTTGCCAGATTATTGTATTGTATTGTAATTAGAATGAAGATAATACTAAAATGGCAATATACTTACCTTAATAAAGATTTTTGTTTAGCCTACACGCTCATTTTATTTGCACCTTTTAGTATTGGGTATTTTCATCCACTCGTTTTTAACTGAAAATTCTTTACCAGTTAATAGGCTTTAAATGTATTATAAAAATATATAAATTATGATTCTAATCATACAATATTTAAGAGTCATACAATAGGACGCGTTGCAGAAAGTCAACAGTCCCGGAAGGTCAAATAATTTATACCAGTGCCGCTAGGTCAAAAACTACAATGTTTGCAGTGTCTGTAGATCAAAAATCCCAGTAAGTCAAATAGTTCAGTCCGAGCTAAAAACGTGGTCTATGTTAAAGCAATTGACTTATTGGGAATTTGACCTAATGCAACAGCAGTTTTAATATAACGAAATAAGATAAAATATAAGTTCAGTTTCGCTGAGTCAACAGTGCCGGAAGGTCAAAAGTATAATCTTTTAAAAACAACGATAGTCCTCTCGACGCATGACTTCAATAATTTCGTGTTTTGGTGTACTTAAAGTTGTGCTAAAATTTTGAAATTTGGCACAGAGTCCTACTCGATGACTATTCTGTTGGAACTTTAAAATATTTACCGATCTAATTAATAAAAATTGATTTGTATGGTGAAATTTTTAAATCGTGATTTCTAACATGAAAAAGTTAGCATGCGAGATTTTTTTTGTTTTTGGGTTAGAGAGGTTTTGTCTGTGGCAAAGTTGTAGCCAAAAGTGTGATGCGTAAAATATATTTTTTTGAATTTTTTACAATCAGTGGTTCAGTAGATAACTTGGGTTGAAGAGGACGGCAAATTTAGCATTTCGCAACGCATGGAAAGAACTACATCGTACGATGCGACTGCTGAGTGGACTTTTAATCTATAGTTCTAAGGACAAGAAAAAGATGAATATACAGATCACCAGTACATTCATATTATTTATAAAACATCTTTCTTTATTACCAGCTTACATTTTTCATTTATAAGAATACATCATAAACAGGGTGTTAAAATAAGCGGGGAGATACTTTACCTAGTAATTCCTTGGGTCAAAATAAACAGAAAATCAAGGATAACATTTTTTCCAAAATCATTTCGTTAACCAGATATCCACCATTTTGTATTTTTTACATACAAATATTTATCTTTGCACTTTTCCAACCGATGTTTATGAAACTTGGTATGTATGTTAAGGTAGGAGAGACCCATGTTATAAACAAAGATTCATCTCGATTCACCCTAAAATTTCAAAATTTAACACTTAACTACAATATAATATACTTTACTACACCACAATATTTAGCCTACGTATCACCATAAATCTTTAACAAAATAAAACGTTCACATTTTTAAAATCCAAAGTAAATCAATATAATATTTCTTTTATGAAAAATATATTTAAAAAAAGGCGATGGTAAAATAACGACAGGCGAGTTTCGATCTGGGTGTTTCAGGTTTGAATCTAGGAGGATTTAACATTAATTAACATTAATGTTTAATCCTCCTAGGTTTGAACTGATTGAGAGGAATACATGAAACCGAAGGGGGGAGGTAGCAACAAGTGCACTAGTATTTACTAATGTCCAATTACAATTTGATGGATTTAACCAAAACCTTTTCTATTTCACTTATTTTCAGCTGTTAAATTTCAAACGATACGTTTTAGCGACATCATTAACGTTATTATCATCATCACCGTTTGAGTTTGGGTTTGCGGCAATGTATTTTTATGAATAAACCCTTTAATTTGATACCAAACTTGACCTCTGCTGCTATTAATTGACTGTATGCACTATTAATTAACAGCTGTGTCTAAGGATTATGTCGGCCTTAGTCACAAACAGGACAACAAGATCGCTCCACTCATCCCACACTCATCTCCATTCATACTTGGCTTAAAATGCATACATTTTTGTATGGTCGCCATTTCAAAGCAACATGGCTACATTATCAATGACAAACGTGGAAAACCTTATACGAGTGTGAGTAAGTCCGAAAACAGAGTAAGTCCGAAAACAACTCTAAAAAACAATAAGCAATAAATTGCAAGAACCGTTGCTTATGTCATTGGGTATACACATATGTACTGACGTGTATACTCAATGCTTATATCGTACGATTTGTTATATGTACATCGTGAGAATTTCCATTAGTTGTTCCATTTAGTTGTGTCTCCATTAGTATAATAGTTTAGTTGACTCTTTTAAAGTCAGCGGAAATTGTGACTGTTATTACCCTTGAAATGATGTTTGTGTAGTACTTTGCAATCCTACCAATGCTTATAGAATCATACGATTACAATTTTCTGGTTAGAATATGTCTCATAGAGTGGTGACTACTGTATCTTTTTGGTTTGCTTGTAAAACAGGATCAACAGAGATTTTCCATCGACTTAAACAATACGATACTCTCAAATTGTTCATTGCTATAACAAACTATCACACAGTTTGATGAATATTTGTGTGTAAACCACATACAGTACACCTGTATTCTATCTATTTTTCCTTTTATTTTTCCAAGACTTTATAGAAAATCACGCATTACGTGATCAGTGAAGAAAGGTCTTTGGGATCAACTTCAATGCAACAAATAGAGAAACATCACTCAATAGAGGCTGAACGCATTTCAGCCAAACTTAACAAAATTACTTAGACTAATAGTGAGATGGTTTTTAAACAAGCAAATTTCAATTAGATAATACTAATGCAATTTAAAACGTACTTAAAATTTCCAATTTTTAACATTAGGCTTATGGGACTAAAGTAGCCATATGACAGTTTTTTGTTTACAAGAAAAATGTAAACAAGAGAATCGTAAGGTATTTCTTAACTTTCTAGACTTTTCTTTTAAACGTTTTTAAACCATTCCTATGATTTTAATAAACAAGAAAATGCCGTTAAAACATTTTTTCAAGGCGCGGAATTCACTGAAAATTGAGAAAATATACGGAACTACTTTCTCAATGCGCGGAGCATAAACAAGGAGCGGAGGGATACGGACCGCGGTGACTACTTTCTTGGGAACCTATTTGTGTTGCCAGCTGATTAGAATTTAGAAACAGCCAATGTTAGAAATCAGAATCTAATAAGCGATATATTGAACCGCATCGAAATCGATATTTAATCCGATAATACCTCACAGGTTATATTATGTTGAATTACATCGACGGTGCAGTAAGTTATTACACTTATTAATAAAACGCAGATTGAACACTGATCTAATTTCGGCATGTGGGGAAGGTAGGTTGGGGTTTATGAGTATTCGTGGTTTATGAGTTATGGTATTAGTGTTTTGAAGTAAGGTTAGATTAGGAAGGTAAAGTGTAGGTTATAGGTAGGTGATCGGGTTGTTTATTTGTGTTGCACCATATAATTTTTATCTTTTGGAATAGTTGGTTAAGCGGGGAAACGATTACAAAAATGCTTGCATTATGGTATTAACAAGCCATCTACGGTATTCTAGCATTGTCTTTATATAAAGTCAATGATTCTAGAAAATTACTACATAAAAACCAAATGAAAAGAACATTTGGATTTGGACCTTTGACCATAGCAAAACTAACATGTAATTTATGAAATGTGAAAAGTTGTATATCATTAAATACTATTCTGATTCTGTAATATTAATAATTGTTCGGCAAATCCTCATTTTAATGGCTCGGCTGAAAATGGAATCTGCATTTTGTGAAACAGTAATTTGGTAACAATTCAGTAATTTCAAATGTTGATAATCCTGTAATCCCTGATATCCTGATATCCCTGATATCCTGTATAAATACTGTTATTTGATTGCCAAGCCACGGGCTATACATACGTCCAGTTACAACCATAATAATAAGTAAATAAATTAATTACCTAGGCTAAAAGAAGTCCACTTTTAACCACGGTATGGATAATTGTCAAGGCTTGTCCAGAAGTAGGCTACTAATTTCTAATTATATTATCTACATTGTATATTTAAGGCATGTCTTCCCTTTTTATTATTATTCTGTTTTCACTTAAATCAGCTGAATGCGATGTTTACTTATTACTTATGTTTAGGCCTACATTTCAGCCATTTTATGTTGCACGGTTGAATTTAAATGTCAAATTTCCCCTCCTCCGTTATTATACTTTAATACTTGTTTTTTTATAGTTACTGTTTTTTTTTATACTTAAATACTTTAACCGATTGTAAGGGTGAAAAATGTAGCCCAATGTTTTTTTGTTGTAGGCTACAGTTGCATTTGAATGTTAAATTACCTTTCTCTTTTTTATACTTTACTTTTTGGATGTTAATATCAGATTCCAACTACTGTAATATTTTCATGGTCAAAACTACCATAATGCACTTCTGGAAGAGGTATCTGAATAACGAGATATAGTAATACCCCCGCCGCAGCAAACCTGCAGACTAAGCGAATTTCCATTTGACTGATTGGATTTACACTAAAATGTCTACTTAAAAATATAACATTTATTCTTGATTTAAATAGAATTAGTTTAACAAGTACTTAGGTTTGCTGCATCAGGGAGGGTAAAACTGTTTTTTTTTTTTGTAAAATGTAAATAGTTAGTAAGAAATAAAAACATTTTCCAAATTTGATCAAAATATGTTCACAAACAAGCAAACTACAACAGTTTACTTATTCTCCATAAGAATAACATGGGAATTTTAAATTTTAAATTTTTTGGAATTTTCTCCGTAACCATTAGGCGCATAACAACGCTTCAATATACTAAATTATTTGTTTTTTTAAGCTCTACAAAATGGTTTGGAAAGAAATTGCTAAATTTTATGTTTTTTGGGTCAAAAATGGGAAAAACCGATTTTTACCCCATAAAACCCCCCGTAAACCCCGTTCCCATGGTCCGATCATGCTGGATCGCGAACTCGTTCGAATAAACGTATGTTTACACGTTTGTACCAAATTTCATCAAAATCGGATCATTTTTGCTCGAGTTATCGTGCTGACGGACACATATATATATATATATATAAATATATAAATATATATATATATATATGAATTTGAACGGATGGTGTTTTTGGCCTCTAGGGACCTCAAAACGAAAAAAAAAATCGGTCCCGCGTCCAGGTCTTACCATGAGTACTACGGTAATAGCTTATTCCCTATATGGGAAATTCGCTAAAAACAAAAAAAACAAATTTGAATTATTATAATTTTAATCAATAAAACCAGCATTAGTACATCTATTGACCTTTTTACATTTAATTACTTATACAAATATCAAATCACGTTTGTTCCGCTCAACTGGCTTTCACCTCTCTGAAAGCAACCCTAGTTTTATAGGTAAAGAAGAACACTGCTTCATGTCAGAGCATTCAGTTATCAGCAATTAATACATATATACATAGCACATTGAACCAGCTGTTAGTTAAAACAGATTATATTGGACTAAAACAAATCGATGATTACAAAGAATACTTTAAAAAATAATTTGAACATCCTACTACTGTATTTTACTATGCATATTTAATTAATCTGCCATCCTCGTACCGAAGAATTAAATGTATTAATGGTCAGCATTACACATAGTATAAATAAGCCAACCATAGGTATGTATTTGAATTTTCTTCCAAATGCTGAATTTGTGTAACAAATGCTGAATGTTACAGCTGTTATGTTAAGCAAATTATATTGTACTAAAAGCTAGCTAGAAGCATTGGGTATTTACTCAGGGGAGGTATAGAAGAGGCTACGATGACAGCTGTGGACTTCTTATTAGCAGAAGGAACGCCATTACCGTAACAATACGGTCATTGGCCATCGGCCTCAGTGGTCTAGTGGTTAGCGTACCGGGCTGATATGCTGAAGGTCCCAGGTTCGAATCCCGCTGGTAGCACTAACTTTTTGTCCAAGATTTTTTCATTATCAGCAAGTTTGGTTGGTGTGGTTCGGTTATGACAGTTTAATTTTATTATAAGTCATTATAAAATTTTAATTTAGAAATTTCTAGTTTTATTTAATAAACAGAATGTTTTTTTCATAACTAAACATTTGTTATATTATTTCATTATCAGCAAGTTTGGTTAGTTCGGTTAGGTTATGATAGTTTAATTTTATATTTAAAAAATTATAAAATTGAATTTGAGGCATTTATAATTTTATTTTATGAACAGAACTGTTTTTGCGATTAGTAGTAAACCTTCATTGCCAAATTGCTCTCTACTACAGCGCTGTTCACGGAGGAATTTTAAACCAATGCCTCATTCGTACCTCCCCTAAGTCAGACCCGAAGCATTGACTTATTGGAGAAGGTTAGCATCGGCTGCTAGACTTTTTAAAAACTAAAACTTAATTTATAAAAAACTGGGACACTAATTTTAAATTATGGCTTTGAAATTCCCTAGTTCTCAAAATTGTCTTTCTTTCAACACAAAACTAATGAAAATCCATCGACTGGTTGATTCAGAATCGTGAAAAAACCCCATTTACGTTTTAATAGTATATGATAGTTTGGACAGGTTTCAACCCTTCCAAGGCGTAATACATTTACACAGTTTATATGTAGACTACATTATAACTCATAAAATAGTTCTACAATTAAATGGATCTCCTTTTACAAACGTATATAATAACCAGGAATTTTCAGATCGTCCTTGCGGGTATTTTATGCCACAAATTTTGACGAAAGGCTATACCTATTTACAGTGTTGACCAAACAGTTGGCAAGAAGCATTAATAGATAAGCTATGTACCAAATATGACAATTTTAGCTCTATTCTAATTATGACAAAACACGAAGTAACTAAAAGCGAGTTTTGTTGGTGTAGTAAGCGTTGCAGGAGGTCTACTTTACACTGAATCGACGTTCACTTTTATTGCTTTAGATCTTCCGGCACTGTTGACTCAGCGAAACTGAACTTGTATTTTACCGTATTTCGTTATATTAAAACTGCTGTTGCATTAGGTCAAATTCCCAATAAGTCAATTGCTTTAACATAGACCACGTTTTTAGCTCGGACTGTATTACAGTAGAACTCCGATTATCCGAATCAATTGGGACCAGACCTCATTCGGATAATCAAAAATTCGGATAATCGGAGTTTTACAGGAATTCCGGGAAAAATTTCCAAGAAAAATCGTCATTTCCGGTACTAAATGAATTTTTAATTAATAATAAATGAAATCAGAACATTTTTACAGTATACAATGCTCTTAGCACAAGTGTTCTAAACTTGTTCTTAATAACAATTCTTTGATATTTTCCAAACCTTATTATTACTGTAGCTTTACATTATTAAAATTGTTGAAATAAGCGATTCGGATAATCGGCGATTCGGTTAATTGGAGTTCGGATAATTGGAGTTCTACTGTATTTGACTTACTGGGACTTTTGATCTACAGACACTGCAAACATTGTAGTTTTTGACCTAGCGGCACAGGTATAAATTATTTGATCTTCCGGGACTGTTGACTTCCAGCAACATTCCCCTACAATATATACTAATTGTATTATTACAATATAATAAAATTTAGTACCTACAATAAGACCTGATAGACCTGATTTTGGCCCGAGACCCAAAAGTCAAAATTGTTTAGCCGATCTGAAGAAAAAAGGTTTTGCCCACAGACCCTTGCTAAATTTAATTTTTATAATTTACTCTTGGCAAATTCCTCTATGGAGAGGTAACGGTTTCGGTAGTCTTCATGATAAGACTGCAACACTGTACTTTTACCTTTTTGGGTCTCCAAAAGCCAAAAAGTTTTACCTAACATGTATGTGGTTCGATACTAAGAAATAAATTGGTTTTGATAATTTTTATTTGTTGACAAGAACTTGTACAATTACAATGGAACATCAAAATACTGGTTTTTAAAAGTAATAATTATAAAACCTCTTAGTCATGTGAGGAAGTAAAAAATACACAATTACAACCTAATTATCTGTAGTTTCCATAGCCTCTTCTCCTGCGTTAGCAGCCGCATCCATGTCTTCATTTTCTCCCTCTTTTTCAGCAGGTTTTTCAAATGCTTTGTCTAGAGGTGAAACTTCCACACCGTCCCACACTGTAGTTTGAGTTATAAGATCTACGAAAAAAACATTGGTGTTGGATTGAAGTAGATTTGGTTCACAAATATGCACATCAAACACTAACATACATGAAAGAATTAATGTCAAGTATTTTAGTCTAACAAAACTACATTTTAGTAATTTGGTTTAAAAAGGCTCTAATGTAATTTCAATTCCTAGTCACTGATAAAACTGTTTCCATCCCAGCTAATATTTATGAGCATTATATTTAACATGAATTTTCAGATGTCTCTCCCCAGGCCCACTTTTATAAACGGGCAGACTGGGCATGTGCCCAGGGGCGCCGATGGTTGGGTGGCGCCCTCAACCACCACCCGCACTACTAGGAAAAATTGGTTTTATCAGCCAGGATTTCAAAAATAAAATGCGTGATTTTAACTTGTAGTTAAGTGATTTCCCCTAACTGTAAAAGTAAATAAATACAACAAAATTGAAAATACTTCTTCAGATTATGATTATGCCTTTGTGTAGTCAGGGAAAGGCAGGCAGCAGTATGAACAGGACACACTCACTATTCAGTATTCACTATCAAAGGTAGGGTGGTAGGCCTGTAGACTACAGCTGGTGACGTGCCCCTACTACTTTCCCTCCCACCAATCATCGCGACACCCACCCCTACAACTAACCGCGCGGCAGCGCCAGTAGGTTGTGCTGTTGTGCTTGTGCCTTCTGCACAGTCGTCAAATCAACACAACCTAACCTGTGACAGTCACTAGTCAGTGTTGACATTCACACTGCAGTTAGTGAACCAGTAATAAATAAATAGAAGTATTGATACAAGTAGGCATATAAAACAGTGAAAAAATGCATAAAAACCCTAGTGGATGTGGAGCCGAAAACCGCAAGCGGTTGGCTCGAAGAAAACAAACTCAAGAATCAGTTTTAAAGAAAGTGAAGTGTATTAGGCCTAACCGTAGTATTTTAACTGCACCTGAATTGAAAACTCTGGATATTGAGAACTCCCTCCCGAACAAAAATTGGTCAAAACATGCTAATATATAGATAATAAATACATATATATGCATAGGCCTATCGTTTAATACGTGTGTAATGAACTGCACACTGTACTGTACTGAACAATAATCACTGCGTAGTGCCACGTAGTGCATTTAGCTATTGGCGCAGGGCAAGAGGCATTTGCTCGCATAGCAACTGACAAGTTCAGTACCCCCCCCCCCCCATCAACCCACCTGCTGTGGATTTCGGCGAACTGATGAGTCAACCCCCTTCCCTTTTCACCTCCCTACACCGCTGTGGTCAAAACCTTTTAGTTATATATATAAGGATAAGGGGGCGCTGCTTTTGGGTTTGCCCAGGGCGCTACTGACCCTTAACGCGGCCCTGAAGCCTAGCCATCTTTGCATTGAAAGGCTTGCCTATTTCTGAATGCCCCTAACTGTCACAAACAAACAAATCTAACAGAGTGTACACCAACTGGGAAAAAACCTTGAATTTTAAGGGACCAAAGAAGGAACATTTCCAGGATTTATTTCAGCACCGTTAAAATATTACAATTGTAAAATGCCCTGCAAACATTCGAGTGAGTTTGCTCAATCGAAAAATTCACACATTTTCCGTGATTGTGGAAGACTGTGATGACAGTTTCTTTAAAAGCGGGAGACGACGATAATGTCTTCAAACTGAGGGAGATATCCAAAATTTTGACGTGATCAATAATGTTTAGTAACCGCGCGAGATTTCCAGGATTTTGTTGCGATCTTCCAAGACTACATGGTGACGTTTCTGTGACAATGGGAGACAACGATAATGTCTACTAACCGCGGTAGATGGAGATATTTATTTGGAAGAGGATTTTGCCGCGATTGAGGAATATTATGATGACATTTCCGTGACCGCGGGAGGCGACGACAATGTATTGAAACCGCATTAGATATTCAGGATTTTTCCGTGATGGCCGATGACGATGATAACCTTAGGTGAGATTTCAGGATTTTGCCGCTGATAATTTTTCCGTAAACAATGAAGACATTCAGGATTTTGCTGCAATCACGAGAGATGATGTTTTCATGACCTTGGTTGTTGATGATATATAATGAACACAATTACGATATTAAGGATTATAATTTCTGCAACACTAGCACTAGCTCACTGAACTTTTAACAATTAGAAATATACAAATGTGATGTGAGAACATACTTAAGTTGTAGGTCTTGAATTGATTATAGTTTACGTGGAACTAAACATTTACGCAAGTGTAATATATGTTTATATTAATTGTGCAAGAAGCAGTATTTGATTTTATAATGTTGGTTGCATTCCAGATGTTAAAGACTTGTTTTGTTCTGATTGTTAAGTTTGTTTAAATGACAATAATAATTCAGTTGTGATTGAAATGGAGAATAAATTGAATCCCCTAGATTTTATCTTGTTCTTTTAAAATATTACAGCAGGAGTGATTGTTTACGTGAGAAACATTCATGCAGGAATCTGAAAAAACTTTAAAACCCTGGAATTCACTTAAAAAGAATAGTATACACCCTGTCAAAGCAATTGAAAGTAAATACAGTACACTATACATTTATACATTTCAATGAAATGGTTTACATTAAATTGACCTTTATTTCACTCCCCCTCCTCGGCTGAGGGATTGTGGATAGTGCAAACCTAACCTAAAGTTCCATAGGAAATGATAAAAATTAATTAAGGATCTATGATTTAACTTTGATACAGGTTTAAGATTTTACCTAAGGCCGTTTTTTAAAGGAGCTGTTTCTTTCAGTTCTTAGAATGGAAAAGTTTTACATAACAGCATTCTTTACTTACATAAACAGCATAGTTATACTTAACACCAATGACACGTTTGGTATTGGACAAATGAGGTTCAAGAATTAAGAGAGGAGAAGTAAAATTGTAATGCTTCTAACATCAACTAATCAACTGTTTACCAATTTAATTGTTAACAGTGCAATTAGTGATTGGTACAATGAGTCGTTGCATCAATGTCAGTGACAATATAAACAAATCATAACCTCTCTTAGTTTTGAGTAGTCTCTAGGGACCTCATAACAAAAAGTAAATCAGCCTCGGGTCGAGGTCTTACCATGAGTACTACGGCAATAGCTTATTCCCTATATGGGGAATTGGCTAAAAGGACAACATGTAAATAGTTACATAAACTAAACAGCATTTCTAAGTATTAACTGCTAATAGCTCCTTAACTGCAGGTATTGTTATTTGTTTACTTCTTATAGCTTCACTATTCTGAGCAAAGTTCATGACCCCTCCTCCAAAAAATTATTTTCTACAACAGTAGTTTATAGCGTTGTAATTTGAAACTATAGCATGTTTGGTTTAATTTTCTTTTAAATTGTGTTCACTTAAAACGACAAATTCAGGTTTTTTCCCTAGGATTATTTTCAACAGTTTGTGATGCAAAGTGCTAAAAATGTTTTGGTGGATAATTTTAGTTTTAACTTTGTTTCACACACTTTCAAAACAAATAATATAGGAAGTCCTATGTATAGGACTTGTAGGATCAAAAATTAAATCACACACAAAATGTAACTTATCAACTCATCGGTCAGAATCAGTGTCTCGTCGATGGTAGATGAAGTAAACAATGGCAATTCCCACAATTCATTAGTCTACCTGCAAAATTATTGTCCTCCTCACGGTAAATATCTTGCCTGTCGCTACATAACATAGTGTTCAGTTCTTTCACCTAATAATTTTCTTTAGCCTTTACTTAGAACAGCTGATATTTAAAAAATGATTCAAACTGTATAAATAAATATCATTCATTTCTGTTTTTCTTGAAAACATGACTTATTTTATTTCTCTCTTAATATTTCATTTTTATTCACAAACACTCCACATTATTACAGTTATACAGTTTGAATCATTTTTTAAACATCAGCTGTTCTAAGTAAAGGCTAAAGAAAATTATTAGGTGAAAGAACTGAACACATAGCCTACATTTAACGTGCATAGGTATCTAGAGCATATCAATGTCTCGTCGATGGTAGGTGAAGTAAGCAATAGCAATTCTTTAGTCTAGTTGCGAAATGATAGTCCTCCTCACACGAAATATCTTAGCTGTCGCTGCATAACATACATTTAATGTGGATAATAGGCTATAATTTTATTTTTTTGCAATTGTGGTTAATGCTCTTTTGGATAATAAGGCAGTCTACTGTAAATTCAAAGTAAAAAATAAAAACTAAATATTCATTGTCACATAACTTAACACATTTAAATAGTTGATTACTGTCCATATCTAAAATTTGTATTCTTTGGGTTCCTGGACACAAGTTTTGTCTACTCACTGTTATTGCCGTCCAACACAGTCTTGTAGCCCCCGTGAGCCGTGATGCGGATCAGAGTCTGAGCTGTCAGACACACTTGGTCCTGCTGTTCCAGATTCATAGACTGATGCACCCTGTAAGTAACACCGTTGTCAACACGATCTGTGATGCCTGCAATCATGGAAATAAATATCACTCATTTTATAGCAACAGGATAATCTAATACCCTCACCACAGCAAACTTGCAGACTAAAGGCGGGGACACACTTGTCATACACCCTTCCGATCCGACTCCGATCATACTGTGGTACGACTGTCGGAGAGGGGAATGGTACTTAACTTTGAACTTTGAATGGTGCTTAACTTTGGTTGTTTACACCTCTCCGACACGCGTCACGTCATACTCCGATCCTACTCCGATTTTGACTCCGATCACGCACCGACACTGCAGTCTATTAGTTTGTCGGATGCAGGACGGGTTGTTTCTTAAAAATCACCTTTATTCTAAGGTTTAAGAATAATGGTTTAAGATAAATATATGCCGGTGCTTGATGAGAAATCTGTGCGTGCATATCTTTAATTTGAGACCTCGATCATGAAAATCGGACGGGTAGAAGAGCCAAACGAACTCGAGAGAGAAAACCCAATGTGTTTAATATACAGGGTGTTTGGTAGTCAGTGTCAAATATTTTAAGGCATTATTATGCACGCAAATTGCTATAAAAATACGCAATTTGGGTAGTTATATCTCACTCCTACTTCCGGCAAAAGCCATTTTTAGAATTTTCCAAATTTCTTGACATTGCCTAATAAAATCTCATATTTCTCAACTTTTAACCTACATAATGATATTTTCAATGAAATTTTTAGAATCTTCATTAAATTTTCTATCAAAATACTTATAATATGGTACAGCTTAACCCTAGTAGAAACTCACCCTGATTTGTATATCAATATCACCACATAAACTTACACTATGCTAATAGTAGTTTGTTTAATGTTGATCAGAAACAAATCTAGGGTTAAGTTTGGTCAATGGGATGCCTTTACTTTACACTAATTTTGTTAAACCATTACAAAAGGAGCATAAACTTAGAAATAATAACTTGGCCCATATGTTATATATGGATGCTAATTTAGCGATTTAGCAGTTTTGACCAAGAATTAAGATTATCTCAACACACTTTTATTGGCCTTTTCATATTTGACGAAGACAATTTCCAATATTTCAATCAGGGAAGCCTTTTCATCACTAACCAAAAGACCAAAGCTACCTTAGTAAACCAATATTTATTCACAAACATGTTTGCTGCCTTTGGCAGAGTTAAACCTCTGGAGTCGTTCAAATTATTTATTGAAAATAACATAAACAAAAGCAAACAAAGACATACAAGAAACTGTTTTTTTACACAGAAGAATGTTGTACAGGGATATCCATCCTGACACATAGATAATTTGATTCTGAGTTTGTTTAAATATTATAATAATTTCTTTTAATTTTGAACTTTCTAGGAAATGTCGCTACAAGCCCCTAGTATGTATTGAATAGAGTCAATGCGTAGACGGATGTTTCATAAATATGTATATAATAGTATATTACGTTACTAGTCCTGAAAATAGGTGTTTACCAAGAGGACAAGTGAGGTCGTTCCCATGCGAGACGATTAATACGGGATTACCATACCAGTCCGGTAAACACATTTTGGACGAGTGACGTACGATATTTTACACCATACTACTAAATCCGTACAGATCCTTATATATTACCACCGACCAAAGGACTAACAATCACTAGTCAATCTCTAAGAGAGGTTATGTTTTTGTTTATAAACTAACCACTCTCACTCTTTGCCAAATACAGTATATAATCAGCTGGTTGGGGTTCAGTAATAGTAGTTTACGCAACGATTGCGAGAAGATAGTGTTAACGACACGAGTAGAAAATTTAAGGTACGAGCCTTGGCGAGTGCCTTAAAAACTTCGACGAGTGTCATTAACATTATTTACGCGAGTTGCGTACACTACTTTACCTACGACAATGTTTTAATTACTAAAAATCACTATTCATAATTTCTAAAAGAGGTTATGTTTTCGTTTATAACCTCCCATTACCACTGACAGTGATGCAACGAAACACACTAATTGCGCTACTCAACAATTAAATTGGCCTGAACAGCTGATTAGTTGAATTTTGAATCATTACAATTTTACTTCTCCTCTCTCAATCCTTGAAACTCATTGGTCCGTTACCCGTGTTGTTATGAGTAAAACTATGCTGTTATGAATGTAAACAATGCTGTTATGAGATACTTTTCAATTCTAAGAACTGTACTGAAACGGCTACTTTAAAAAACGGTCATAGGTAATAGTATATTACGTTACTAGTCCTGAAAATAAGTGTTTACCGGACGAGTGGGATTACCATACGAGTCCGGTACACACATTTTGGACGAGTTACGTACAATAGTTTACGCCATACTACTAAATCCGTACAAATCCTTATATACTTCCACCAACTAAAGGACTAAAAATCACTAGTCATAACCTCTCTTAGGGGTTATGTTTTTGTTTATAACCACTTATTGCCACCTAAATACAGTATAATCAGCTGATTGGTGTCCGGTAAAACTCATTGCAGTACAGTAGTAAGTAATGAAACCCCATTTGATTAAGCTGATGGCAAACAGCTGTTTTCTGGACTAAATCCTTGCGTGGGAAGTTCGTCAAAACAGTGTAGTGTGGCGTAAATTATATATTGTTTGGATTTGCAATTCTGTAAAATATCTCTTAGCTGAATCTCTGTTTTGCAGATTTAACACCAAATGAATAGCCTTCTTTTGTTTGGTAGGAATCGATTCCGAATTGGTCTTTGTTGTTACTCCATAATTAAAAGATACTAGTGGCTTGTAGGGACATAAGTCCCTAAAAAGCTCAAATGGAAAAGAAATTATTGTAATATTTAAACAAACTCAGAATCAAATTATATATTTGTCAGGATAGATATCCCAGTACAACATATCTTTAGTGTAAAAAAAAACAAAAAAAAAAACAACAGTTTGTTATTTGTCTTTGTTTGCTTTTGTTGATGTTATTTTCAATAAAGAATTTTAATAATTCCAGAGGTTTAACTGCTAAAGAATAAATATTGGTTTATTAAGGTAGCTTTGGTTTTTTGGTTAATGCTGATAAAAAGGCTTCCACGATTGAAATACAGTATATGAAATTGTCTTCGTCAAATAAGAAAAGGCAAAAAATGGTGTGTTGACATGAACTTAGTTCTTGGTCAAAACCGCTAAATTAGCATCCCTACCCTACCCAGTTAATTTGTTCTAAGTCTATGCTCATTTTGTAAAGGTTTAACAAAATTAGTCTTAAGTAAAGGCATCCCATTGACAGAACTTAACCCTAAATTTGTTTCTGATGAACACTATTATTAGCCTAGTGTAAGTATATATAAGGATTACCACCACGTAAACCTCCTTAAGGTGCGATTGATTTACATATTCTACAAACAGGGCCTAATCAGCGTTTAATTACTTACTATTTTGCGACTGGTTAGGGTTCCATTACCCAGTTATCGAAACTAATCAAGACATAAATACTTTTTGTTAGTTTAAAGAAACGGAAATTACCTCTGTTTTATATATAGGTGCTTTCTTTTCTAACGTGCATGCTAGGCTATATTATTTGAACCCTTTTTGCTTGGAGCAATTAACAAAGTACTTAAGTACTTAATGAACAAATACCTGTACAAACCTACTTCATCTTTATTCCCAAATTGTTTTTTAAGAGTAACCGTTGAGGTTATTCCACTTCGTACAAAATATTGATTAAACACTATAATAAATCTCAAATATAAAAACCTCCTTAAGGTGCGATTGATTTACATATTCTACAAACAGGGCCTAATCAGCGTTTAATTACTTACTATTTTGCGACTGGTTAGGGTTCCATTACCCAGTTATCGAAACTAATCAAGACATAAATACTTTTTGTTAGTTTAAAGAAACGGAAATTACCTCTGTTTTATATATAGGTGCTTTCTTTTCTACCGTGCATGCTAGGCTATATTATTTGAACCCTTTTTGCTTGGAGCAATTAACAAAGTACTTAAGTACTTAATGAACAAATACCTGTACAAACCTACTTCATCTTTATTCCCAAATTGTTTTTTAAGAGTAACCGTTGAGGTTATTCCACTTCGTACAAAATATTGATTAAACACTATAATAAATCTCAAATATAAATGATAGTAAATTTACAAAAAAGTGTGGAATAAATCTTTAATATATGTTTTGAAATCAAAACAAAGAAGATCTTCTTTTAATCTTGAATCGTTTCTTTAATCTTAAAAACAATTTATTTCAACTTTGACATAACTAAAAAGTTTTGATTATTAAGGGTTACGTTATCCCTTTATATAGTTGGTTTTATATAGTATACAGTACATTGCAGAAGTGATTGGCAAATGAGAAATCCAAATGTAAGCTTACTTGCTTAGTGATAGATCACGATCAGCTGTATTGAAGTAAACAAAAATCAGCAGTAAATACCTTCTATTGCGATACTTATGGAGAACATTTCACGTTATATCTAATTTTGTGTTAAGATTTTGGGAATTTAACTATTTTTCCCGCCGTCACGGGATCAAGACCTTTAATTTGAGCCCTCCCCCATCGTTCTACGACTTCCCAGTTGCCCACAATTTTGACGCAAAGAATCGGCTTACGTAATTAATATATAGATAGATTCCATAGGGTATGTGACTATGTAGTAATGAAAAATGTAAATATATTTTCCTCAAAGTGTCTATGTTGCAGATCTGAGACATCTGCCTAAAAGCGTATAGCCTACTTAACAGCATGTTTAACATGTCTATTCCGAGTAAGATTTTCATTGAATATTAATCCAAGAAATATAGTTTGTTCAATTGCTCTATTCAGTCATAAAAAAAATTTAAAAAATTTAATGTCAATTGTTTGGTTGAAAAAGTTTGATTTATATTCATATGACGATTTTTTTCTAAAAAAAAATCATGAGTCATCATCAAATGATTTTTTTGAAGATGTTGAACTTTGGAACTTGGGTTTGGAGATAAGCCCCCTTCCCTACTAGAGACGATGTGCCAGTTCGAGCTGAGATCCAGGTATGACTAGACGGGTTAATCTGTT